GTGGCGTGGGCTCATGGCCTGACATCCCAGCACTTTGGGCAGGCGAGACGGTGGATCACTCTGAGTCAGGAGTTTAAGACCCAGCCTGGCCAACATGGTGAAACCTTGTCTCTACTCAAAAAATACAAAAATTAGCTTGGGTTTGGTGGTGCACGCCTGTATCTCCCAGCGTATCTTAGCGCAGTAGGACAGCAACCTGAGGCACCCAACATAGGCTATGATCCCCAACCACACCTGGTGGATGGGAAAACCAGAGCTGGCGGAATCTACCAGCTCCAGATGAAGGAGGAGGACACCAACTCTGCCACCAGCCCAACAGCAAGATATGTCCTGCAATTCAACTCAGTCCTGGCTCCCAACTTGCGATGAGCCTACACCCAGGGATACTAAGCGAGTGAGACCTTGATGATCCTTAGCTACTGCCTCCAGCCTGGGCAACAATATAAGGTGCGGACTCTGTCTGCAATACAACCAACGATCACACGAAGTACTCAGCAAACACCCAACCCTCTCCTCCATCACTTCCTCACATACTCCCTCCCACTGCTCCCCCCCTATCGTCATGCCTATCGCTTTATCCGTGTGGTTGTAGCCCCCGAATCTGCCATTTCTCACATTTACATACCAGAGACAGGAAGATTTGGGAAAAGCATGTTGAGAAACATGTGCGGGGGGTGGTGAATAAGGAATGTGACCAGTTACATGTTCTGACAATGACAGACCTCAACCTTATACAGAACACAGCACTGGAGCTACCTCTATGTGGACCATCTATAACTGGAATATAGTTTTTGTCTCATAAAACATATTTATCTTGAATAATAACCTCTCGTTACTCAGGATAGTTCAAAACCGAATCAGACTGGTAATGCAGAGGCTATGAGAAATAGAAGAGAGAATCACTGCCCATAGAAAAGACAAACAAAGAGAAGATGCGCGCCGGAGACTCCTGTTCAAGGTTATTCTTCAGAACGCACCGTGTGCTCATGCCCGTAATCCCAGCACTTTGGGAGGCCAAGGCAAGGCGGATCACCAAGGTCAGGAGATCGAGACCATCCTGGCTAAACACGGGTGAAACCCTGTCCTTACTAAAAATCACAAAAAATTAACCAGGCTTGGTGGCGGGCGCCTATAGTCCCAGCTACTCGGAGGGCTGAGGCAGGAGAATGGTGTAAACCGGAGGCCGGAGCTGTGCAGTTCAGTGAGCCAAGATGGCGCCACTGCACTCCAGCCTGGGCAAAAGTGCGAGACTCCATCTCAAAACAAAAGACTGCTGGGTGAGACTCTGTTATGGACTGAATTGTGTACCCCTAAAATTCATACCTTGAAGTCTGTGTTTGGAGATAAAAGCTCTTAAGAGGGTAATGAAGGTTAAATGAGTTTATAAGGTAGGGCCCTAATGATAGGACTGGTTTTCTTATGAGGAAGAGACACCAGAGATCAACTGCTCTCTCCTTCTCCCTGCATACCCCCTGCCATTCCTCTCACCCCCACCCCTAGCACACACACACAGGAAAGCCTATGTGAAGACACAGTGGGAAGGCTGCCA